AAAAATGTATGAGAATGTGCTCCCACAACCAAATCGACTAGTGGACAGTCTTTTGCTATCTCTTGATCCATTTTATAGCCGGAATGACCCAATGCAATGATTATTTTAACACCCTGTTCGTTTAGTTTCTTCGCTTCTTCACTGTGAAATTTTGGTTGATGACTTTGGTAAACGAACCAAATTTTACAACAAAAAATAAGTTAAACTACGTACTTGATGGCATCGACTTCGGAAAAAATTCCAACATCTTCTGTTTTTGACTTATTTACCGTTTGCGGTAGCAAATAACCAACAACACCAATTTCGAACCCTTTCACATTGAGCACAACAGATCGATGGAGTGCATTTGTTTGCCACAATTGATGGTCTGTCGAAATATTCAAGTTGGCCACTGCAATCGGGAAATTTATATTTCTCAAAAACGGTACCAGTCCTTTTATACCGTAGTCAAATTCGTGGTTTCCTAATGCCTGATTTGGGTTTGTAGAAAAAAATATTTTAATTGTTGTGATTAAACAGTAACCCAGTGCTTTTATTATTCTAGCATATGACTTAACTCGTTTGTGCTCGGCATTGCCATGTGGCAACACAAAATGGAAGGTCTATTATCAGTTGTGTAAAAAGTGAACCAATGCACATATTTATAATCGATTGTAAACACGTTTTGTGTTCGTTAAGGATGTATCTTACTTCCATCAAATTTTCACTTCGATCTGTGCATCAATGTGGATTTTATAACACCTCAAAGTTAGAGAAAATAGCAAAAGTGTAAAAATTGGCCATTTGTAACAATTTCCATTTTGGCCAAAAACAACATATGGCTATATTTGTCACATTTTTCACTTTTTTGAAAATTTCTTTTTGCAGTCGTCTAGTTTTTTTGAGTGTGTTAGCGTATATAATTTCAAAATTTGAAAAAAATATTTTTTTCACTGTTTTTTCTCACGATCCGACAGCAAAAACCAAAAATACATTGATCCATATGGACACTGAATGTACAGAATGTGACAAGAGCGAAACTAGTGAAAATATTCATGAACTAACATGTAATCACAAAGTTTCTATCTTAAATGCATTGAAGAACACAACAACAATGCCTGAGAGTAGTCAAAATTGCAAGTTTCAATCATTCAAACATGAATAAACATGCAAAGCACGTACACCTTTCTGTGACGTAAAAAGTCTCATGCTATTGGATCGTGTTTTTCCCACTAAGTCGGTTTCAAATTTTTTGCTACCGACGCCGCTCCTGGCCAAACTAGGCGTCAGACAAAAAAAATAGTCATACATTTTTTTGTTCCGAGACCATGTAGAATATAAATATTAGTAGTAAAATAAAAATGGTAACAAAAATTGTAACCGGCCACAAACGAGTTTAAGAAAATTTGTTCTTTGAAAAAATGACCTTTGAATATAGGTACCTATATGTTGTTGAGAACAAAAATAGGAATGAAACATGTAATTGGTATTCATCCTGTTTTTTACCATTATAAATAATAAAAAATAAAATAAAATTTTGTGTCCCTGGTCAGAAATTGGAGGCAAGTGTATGCAAATGATGAAGGGAATTAAATCGATTAAAAATAACACTTGTTAAATTAGCCACTAAATTAAGCCTATAAATTCCATAACAGAACATTCATTATAATTTCATTGTCACTTTTCTTTGCAATCATTTTGTTTGACTGTCAATTTTTACCTATTATTCGAGCAAATCATATCAAATGACTTGTTAGAAATAAGTTGTTGTTTTTGTTTAAATGTTGTCAAACAATTGGAAACCTTCTTTAAATAGTAGAATTGTTTATGTTTACAAAGCTGCGAATACTCACACCAACATCGGGTCTTAAAACGGACATAAGTTCCGCCGCAATTTCATGTTTGAATAGGTAAAACCACGGAGTCCCAACGTAGGTATCGCCAGCATTCAGGAATAGAACTGGTAGTCCGTTGTCTTTCTCTTGATCGCTGCGATAGCGTTTAACCAGTGTTGAAATGCGGGCAAAACCGCCGTAGCATTTGTTGGCAAGAAATTCTTCTGGACGGCAGTCAGATCGATCTATGGTGGTTTCGACGAAACGACCGTGCAAATCATTATTGTGCAGAAGAATCAAGTCCAATGCAGACTTTCCACTGTCTGCTGTCACTACACTTGCAATTAGTAGCACCACTATACAATTTACTCGCATCATTTTCGATATTTTCACGTATTCAAGAACAACACGCCACAGATAATACCGTTCCACACGGAATGTCGTGATTTTATATGAGGCCTTTTAAGTCTATTCCAGATCTGACACTGTTCCCACTGTTGAACGTAGAACCGTGTGGCTATAGTATAGTAGAGTGTGAAGTCGTTTTACGTCATTTTTAATTTCAAATAACCGTGTGCTTCAAACAACCTATTTTCAAAATCAACAGAAAGTGGCGATGTTTTTCGACGCCAAGTGATAAAAAAACACATAAATTAATGTTTTAATTCTGAATTACAGATTAAAAAATTCCATGTTCGCACGGCGGAGATAAGACAATTAATTAATAATAACACGGTTTTTCTTTCATTGTTTCTATATTACGTTTTTTTTTTTTATTGTTTTAGAATTAATTGTTGGGTGGAACGTCTTTAATTTAGTGTGACACAGCTATCTTTGTAAACTGTCTGTTATTTGTAATAATAACAAATAATAACAACAACAATGACAACAACAACAATTCTGGTTCTCATTTGAATGCTATTTCTTTTCAATGTGTGTATATGTGTGTGATGAACAATAATTTCTAAATGAACATGTCTATTGAAAGTAATTAAATAGCGTCATCACTGTCACAAAGAGCATCGAAATTGAAACTGTAAACCGTGAAGCAGTTCCTTGTTCATTTGATTGAATATCAATCAAAGTTATACGACCCTCGACCACTGGATAAACCGTACCGGCATCTTCAATGTACTTCTGAACTGCGTCGAATTCGAAATCATCCATGCTTTCGGCTGGGAAATTCTGCAAAAAATAAAATAAAGCCTTGTCAACACTCTATCGAAAAATGACGAGCAAATAAATATTGTTCGACAAAAAGTACCTTAATCATTGAATATCCATCTCCGCCTTTATACAAGAACAGGGACAAAATCACCCGATAGTTTTTCAATGGTTCAAGTGCCATATATGACGGCACTTCACAGTCCGTGCACAACGTTTCCACGGATTGAACGCGATGACCTGGATCTTTCGTCATATTGTAGACCACACGAATGCCCGACATTTGCAGAAATTCACCCCGATCGCCTGTGTAATGTTCTACACTGTGTTCTAGCACTTGCAAAATTCCCGTGCCAGTCATATTCACCAGCAGCATCGAGTTATTGAATGGCAAAATAGTTTTCAAGTCGAACTTTGTGAGATGGCCAAATGGTGCACTGCCACGAATACCACCGCCTTGAATGAAACAAATCGCAGCGTCTGTCCAGTGTTCACCTTCGTACTGATTCACTCTTGCATAAACGAGTGCATCCGAAATGAGATTTCTATCGTTTGTCAAATTAAAATTATAAAATTTTACAAATGAAACCAAATTTTTTTTTATCATTTTATACCCAAGATTGCACTCGCTAGTCCGGCAAGTATTTCCATCGAGAAGTACTTTGGAATAACCGATGCGTGACTCGGTCAATTCGTAAACTGCTGGTCGATATTTTTCCAAAAGTTTCAACACTTCTTCATCCCGTGGCACTGAACCGTTTAATAAAATCGGTGCACCACCCCATTTTATCAAATTTCCATCCGCATCGAACTAGAAAAAACAACAACAACAAATGAATCACCAACAAATGAACGTTCAGCCATCGAACTTACACTCAATTCCATTTTGCCGAGGTACTTTGTAAATGCTATGCGAATAAATAAAGAAAAAGCAAATCAACGTATCGTGTACATTATTCAGATAAAAAATTGTTCGTAAAGTCATACACAAGGAAATGTTCAGGTCAAGTATCAATTGAGGTAAAGTCATTGAAAAAAGTCTTAAGAGCTATCCCAAGCCCGAACATATGGCTTTTGTTGTTTGACTGAACAAAAGTGTTTATCATCCAAATACCAAAAAAAAAAAACATTAACATAATCTTTCTTCTCATATCCATCAGCATGTGTAGCTCTTTATTATAATAATAATTACCATAGGCTTGAACAACTGGCACTTCTTTACCGCTACTTTGTTTTATCACAGTCGGATATGGACCGTCCATTTGTTCGATATCTGGTTGATCACCAGAAAATAAAAACGTATTGCTATGACCTCCAATTACAATATCGACGAGTGGACAATTTTTAGCTATATCCTTATCAACTTCATAACCAGAATGACCCAAAGCTATGATTATCTTGACGTCCTTCTTTCTCAAAGCTTCCGCCTCCTCACTGGAAAAAAATGGACGTAAACGAAGGAAAAAAAACGTTAGAAAAATTAGTTTTTATTTATTCGCCACTTTATTCCACTTACTTGATTGCGAATACTTCTGGGACGAATTCCAAGTCATTTGGTGTGGCAACTAGTTTCGTCTCTGGTGTAAGATAACCGATGACACCGACTTTGAATCCTTTGATATCGAAGACAACGGATTTTTTTAGGGCTCGCGTTTTCCACAATGGATGATCCGCTGTGTTATTTATGTTCGCCACTAATACTGGAAAATCGACATCGTTCAAGAATGGCACCAAACCACTGACGCCCAAATCTAATTCGTGATTTCCCAATGACTATATGAATTTCAAATCAAAATTGGCTTGACATTAAACAATTGTTGAAAACGTTTTTAAAATTGAACTCGAGATGCCGGAAAATAAACAAGTAAATTGATAACAATAACTTCGAAATTGAAATGAGTATTGCGTGCATTCACAAATGGCCCTCCTTCGGTCACTACTTACAATTGCATCGGGCTTGAGCTTGTTCATGAACTCACTCACGATACGATCCTTATAAATTGTAAACCTTTGTATTTGAAAAGAAAGAAGAGAAGTTTTTTTTTTTTTTTTTTTTTCTTGAATTGTAAAGTTGAATACCAACCATGGTGTGCCCGTATAACTGTGGAAAAAAAAAACGAAGATAATTTAGTTTAGTTTGTTTATCATATTTCAAAAATAAATAGTTGTTCAACTTTATTTTTATCACATGATCTTACGTGTCTCCAGCATTCAAATACAAAACGGGTGGTCCACCATTTTCGGCCGCTTTGCGATGCTCTTTTAATATGTGTGAAACACGTGCAAAACCGCCATAGCATTTATTATCAATTATTTCATCTGGATGGCATTTGGCCGAAAATTTATCGGTTTGTTCGAATCGCGCGTGCATATCATTATTGTGTAATATCACTAGATCTAATGCGGATTTTTTGGTTGACCGCCCCTCTAATGGCACAGTTTTTGCGATATTCACCGTCGTTGCGGCGATCACCAATGCTAGCACAAACCGGTGAAAATATTTTTTTCGGAACATAATTCAAGCTCACTAAGATGAGAGAGGTTCCAGCACACTGTGAATGAAGAAAAAAAAAATTGATCTATTTGTATTACGATAATTATTATTCATGAATCGAAATGAACTCTTTTAAAAAGAGTATTTTTTCACGTGATTTTTTTTTCTGCTACTACTGAACACAAAATAAAACACAACCTGAACACGAAAACGCAAATTGACAAGCAAGCGATTTGTCTTTACTTTGCATTGAACTGTGTGTTCACGTGCATGCGTTTGGCGCACATGTATGTCGACTGTCGTCGTAAATCTCACATCGATTCAGCCAAAGCGAATGAAATGTTCAAATACCAATAGACAAACGCCATACATTCGACTGTGTTAAATTGCTCTATGTCACATCAAACCATTCGTAGCCAGTCTGCCCGTGATTGTATGCGAACATGAACAGCATCCTTTTTAGATGGCACTTTTCTTACGAGTGTCGCGTCGAATTGAAAATAAATTTAGAATGAGAATATTTTCACGGTTCTTTGTGTGTTTAACGAGACAAGCGAACGAACATGTTTTGTTCTGTTTTGTTGATTGGTGCTCGACAATTCTTGACAAAGAATTATTCAAAATATAGAGTTGGATGAAATAAAAGACAAGTTCAATGGAGTGAATTCACATGAATTCTTTCCATGCGACCACACGTGCATGTTTTTTTTTTCTTTTGCTCATTTTTTTCGGTCGCATGGCGGGACTTAAAGTGAATATATTATATATAGTCTTTTAATGAATTTTTGCACGCGATAGAATGATCGAATATTCGAACTTTGATCAGACAACACAGTGATGCCCATTCTTAAAAAAATACACACAATGAAACAGAAATATATCATCCTTCTCCCGCGTGAGTAGCAAAATTTTTCAAGGCGCTGCTATTTTAGTGGCAGATTTCGATTTACCACATTAATTTCACATTTGCACGCGATTTCAGACAACCGCGGTTTTTTTTTGTTTCGTTTCGTACATCAAGTTTATGGATTACATTTTGATTAATTGATTTGCTGTTCACGGCATCAATTTTAAACGTCTCTAGCTGTCGTCACGTTTGACCATCGACTGGATGCGACATTTTTTTCTTTTTAGTAGTTGTATGGTAGAGAAGAAAGGAAAGAGAGACAATTAAGTGGTGGGAAGTAGATTTGCATTTTCGAATGATGTGTATCATTACATGTTGAGTTGGATGTTCTGACTTTGTATCTTGGACCGAGCAGTCAATGACACACAGCTGGGGATATATGCTGCACATTGGAACTTAGCAAGCTGAAATTGGAGCATTTTGATCTTGTGACTGGCAACAATGCAGATTCAAGTATAAAAATGAACTTAGCACACTTAGTCCAATGCTTTCCAATCATAAATCCAATCTCAGCTTGCAGAGTTTCTCTGCTCAGTATATATCCCCAGCTATTCGTCAATGGCTGGGTTCGAATCATAATTTGAAACTACAAAAACTCAGCATATAAGCTCTACTAAGTTAGATTGGTTCGTCTTTTTTTATCATAAAGTTTTTAATAAAATGAAATGACAAAAAATTTATGGTCTGTTTCATTTGAAATGGATAAAATAAGTGCTGATTGGATCACTTGATCTTCAATTTCAATGACACATTGATTTCACAAATGTTTTTTTATCGGTAAACACACCCAAATTTGAAAGTCATCGACCGTTGCAAAAGACTCTCGTCGTGAGTTGGCACCTAATCAACATTTCAAAGTAGATGTGTTCGAATTCTGATTGATTTTCAAGCATAGAATTTTAACACGCGTGCACCCCTCCCACAAAGTTAAATTTAAAACGGCACAACCGAATCGATTGACTCTTTCAATGAAACTGTATTGTTTAGTTTAGTTACTCTTCTAGTGGCGTGCCGTATTATCCTCACAACTTATCTCACACTTTCAATCAAATATATCAACACACTTCAAGGACGATGTTTAATGTGCACAGACGTCCTCGTTTCAGAAGGACGGTCCTCGTTTTTGATAGTGGTCCTCGCGAATTTTCCAAAATAATCAAAATGTCCTCGTTTTTTCTGACGAATTTTCTTCTATGAAAAATGCGTAGAATAAGAGGAAAAATCAAGAAAAATAAAATTCTAATTGGATAAAATGATTATTTATCACCATTTATTTGTCATTAAATTCATTTCATCCTTCATTTTAAAATAAATGTTGGAAAAGTCCTCTTTTTTTAGTTTCAAAAAAAAATGTCCTCGTTTTCTTCGAGGAAAATCTGTGCACATTAACGATGTTAATAGTTTTACCGAACAGTTGAGCCGTTATTTACATCATAATTACTGAAACCTGAAAAACACTATTTTTTTACCGTTTTATCCAAATCTCTATCACAATAATATAATTATAGCTGTTGCTTTTAAGAACAAATTCGAATAGCCGACTGCCAGCTTGTAGGCTGAAGAACTAAACCATCCACGGTAAAATATGTTGTCGTATCCAAAAACGGTTTGCGATTTGTCTTTTCTACGGACTTGATTGTGTGTATGACATATGGTAAAATTCTGATAACGTTGCACACTTATGAGTGCACAGACACTTGGAAAACAATACCAAGTATGCAAAGTAATTATTGATTGTGAGTGAAGTGTATGAGCATGATTTATTGTTTAGCTAATAAACTTGAATTTTCAACGAGGTTGTTCAAATAGTTCCCTTTTTGCTTTCTCACGTCCGCTTGACAAATAATATTTGGGAATTGTCACCTCTTGTTTATTCATAGGCTCAAAAAATGGTGCAAAATAAACAAAACGCCGCACAACGAACATTGCTTATTCATTAATCGATTGGCATTTGAACTGGCACTCCATTAAACATTGACATGAAAACAAATTCAGACAATATTTTTGTGGGGCATTTTTACTGCAAAATTTTTTCAGGGACTCTTCATTTTACAAAAAAATTACGTTTCATTATTCCGCTTGCCCATTCAAATGTATGATGTATTTTGCTCCTCTCATCAGGTTCTTGTTTTTTGTTAATCTCATGTTTGAACCAATTTTTTTATCATCCGTATCTTTTTACTATTAGAGTAAGATAGTTGATGATATAACTGTTGATGCAGGGAACATTTTTTTTTCGCATCTGAGTTGTGACGTTTTGAACAACAAAGCCATGAATCGTTTAATGTATCATAAAGGACGGATTTATGATAGGATGTTAAATTTTGACTGCTTTTACTATAAATCATAAGAAGATTCATGTACTTGACTGTTCGCTACGATTAAGATACAAAAAATGTCCCCTGAAATGTAGGTTATGATTCCGTTGGATAAGATAAATACCGAAGTTGAAGAAACTATAAAATGTTGGAAAAATTTGCGCGTATCTTGTTGTAATCGAAAGTGTTTTTTTTTTCTCTGCTTTTAACTTTCTTTCTCCAGCTTAGTTGAATGTTTTTCTTTTCATACGAGTCGAATTTGCTAGAGAATTAAAACCAGTTTATCAGAGGGATTATGAGATTTACGATACACTTGTTTTCATAAAAGCGTGTAAAAAAAATGCTCAATGGAAAATGAGCATTTATATACCATGGGGCTATGCAAATATTGTGCATTCTTCAGGCAAACAGCACCACACACTTTTTCAGCAGCACTGCACGTGTTTCGTTCGCAAGAACTGCGTATAATTAGTCATATCTTAAAATAGATCACAAACAACAATTTCTGTGTCGAACGATATTTTTCAATTTGAACTGTTCAGTATACTCACGTGTTCCAAGACCGAAACGGCACGAAATGTAAGAAGAAAAAAAGCGTAATTGTCCCTCAAAATTAAAATTTGAAAAAATTCACACCGACCGAGCTGAACCGCTCTGGAGTTAACCGGTCAACCGTTGTGAACGAACTGATTCAAAAAAAATTTGTTGAAAATTTAATGAAAGTTAATTGTATGTTTTGTTGTTGTTTTCATTCGGTTTTTACGAAAGATGAGATAAAATGGCTCAGGTGGTTTGGCAATTTTTGTTGCGTCATACAGCTTAGAAATGCCCATTCTTATCGTATCAACCAAAGTCAGCCAGTGTTTGGCAGTGAAATTAATTGAATTTGAAATTGAAGTATTTTGGCGAATGTTATCTAAATGATGGGTGTTAGCTGGTGCTATCGATGCTATATGCAAAATATCAAATGCAGTCAATGGCCCAACCGATGTCATTCCACATAAATTGACTCGCTACGTCTGTTGTCATTGCGGGCAAATTCGGTAGTTAATAATTCCGTAAAATTCTCTTCTGAAGTTATTTTGTAAATTCGAGCGTCAATATCACGCTTGATATCATATTCTGAGAATATGCATCAGATCAGAAGCAGAACTAGTATGTTTATATACGGGAAACATGCAACACAAGAATTTCACGTTAAAAATAGTTCTGCTGCAAAACCAAAATCATATCCGAACAAAAAATTTCTTGGAACTTTTGATCACTGTTCGACAAATCTAATTATGTTTGAATTTAGCTTGCTTCATACAATGAATTTGTTTAGAACTTAACGCTTTTTTTTTCACGGCCAGTGTCAAGTGACATACGGCAATTAATGAGCCAGTATACTATCGATAAATGCGATCTTGATTATTTATTAATCTTCAATGGGCTCGCGGTCAAGATTAAACAAAACGAAACAAGGATGTTTGAAAATTGTGTATCGCAGCCGGTATGATGAATCAGTGACGCTGATGCACGTGCCGATAAAGTGTTTCACATATATGTGGAAAATATAACACACCAGAATCATTTCAAGTACAGTCGTTATGCGACATCTCTTCAAAATATGCTTAGTTTTTGACAATTCATTGGAAATTGGCAAGGTTTCTTCGCGTTTGCTTCATTATTAGGTTGGTAATTTTTCTAGGAGGTGCGAGCTTTTCATTTCAGGCTCTATTTATTCATCTTCACGCTGAGTTGATGACCAAATGAATGTTATGCCAGAGATTGCATATTTGCTGCTGAGTAGGCTTGAGCTGAGCTGAGCTGAATTTGCTGTGGAATTGTTGTGGATCGCTGGAATCCACGCTGTTTATCAATTATATTGGGGTGGATTCCAGCGATCTACAACAATTTTGCACCGTAAGTGCGCTAAAATACCGCTTCAGGCGCCTGAGTTAGCAAATTCAGCTCAGCTCAGGCATACTGAGCAGCAAATATGCGATCTCTGATGTTATACACGCAAAATTGAAATTGCTACCGATTTGGTAGCTTACAGTGGAAAAGTTTGTGTATTCGATAAAATCGTTCAACGAACAGTGTGAATAGCCACGTGCCAATGCGACGTATTTGCTAAAAACAAAAACCAAAAGCACGTACATCAAATTGAATGCGGCTTCAACTACAGCGATTCACCATAAGCATATTGGTTAATGATTGCTTTATCGCCAAAAATTGGTTAATTCATTTGGTGACAAAATATTTGCGGTTGCATTTAAAACGTAAATCATGTGAAATAATTGCGAGTCAACTAGTGAGAATTTCGGTGGAATATGTATTAATTTACATTCGAAAATGTCAAGTCTAATTGAAGCATAAGAGTTTGTTTCATTCAATTGCGTGGAAACTCATGTTTCGTAGAACATATTGCATTAATCCATTTAATGATTGAATTCGTGGGAAACCGCAATCAATTATTGTGCACTAAATTTGAATTTTCGAATCAAGAATTGACAATGTAAAATTTTGTGATTATTGGCTCTGGGATAATTGAACCGATTTGCTGGACGTAAATGTGGATGAAATTGATTAGCAATTGAATGTGTGCCATTGTGAAACAATATGCCACAGCAAATTCACTGGATTGCTTCATCCAAACGTGTTTGTAAAAGCCTAATGGATAATTGAAATTTCGTCCAATATAATGAGAAAATCGTCCAAAAAATATTACAAAACATCCAAAAAATTTTGGGCGATTTTCTCATTTTCTTTGGGATGTTTCGAAAAAATAATCCCCCGAGGGAGAAAAAAAACGAAGTTAGTACCTTTTTTATGAACAATTTTGGACAAAATTCTAATTTCAGAATTGGGGACGAAAACAGATTTGGACGTTTTAATGAAAAAAAATTCGCAACATCTAAAAAAAAATGAGAAAATTTTTTGGGATTTGTTGTAATATTTTTTGGACGATTTTATAAAAATTTTGGACGGTTTTTTTTTCATTTTTTGGACGATTTCTGATTCAACCAAATCTTAATTAAGGTTAAATGACTTTGGATTTATTGGAACAATCATTTACGCGCTACTAACCGATAAGATACCATCTACGATCCCATTGAATCTCCACATACACCGTCTAAATGTCAACTATTCACCATGATTGATTGCGTCTCTAACCGCCTTCTTCACGGACAAAATCATATGATAAATAATGTCAATTTGGAGGAAAAAAAACCGACTTTGAAATGATATGAAAGAGCAAAATATGTTCGTCAAGATTAAAGAATTCAAATTTATGGTGGAAATTCGGTTTGAGTTTCATTTAGAATAAAATTGTATTATTTCGAAAAATGAACATTTTCTGCAAATGTTGAGAGTTTGTTGGTTTATTTCCCATAATATTATCCAAAAATTCATTGGGAATTGGGATTTTTTTTCTGTTGGAAAATTATCTCTATTTCTTCAATTCGGTTGTAAATGGTTGGCAATTTCAAATTTATGATTTTTATCGATTGCATGACAACGAATCACCTCATCAATTCAGCCATGCGACCCAATAGCCGGTTTCACTATATGCATCAAATGATGAGTTTTAACTTACCGAAAATGATGTGATAAGCAGCGAAAATGCAACGAACACAAATCCACGACAGCAACAGTAAAAATTCAATTAACTCAATGTCACTCGACGGTAATTCGAAATAGTCTCTCTTTCTATTGGAATGCAAATGTGTTGCTCCGAATTTTTTTCGAACGGTGGCTCTCAGCTATTGTACGACGCCGACTGATTACTATATGATTGTGAGCGTACTTTTCATTTGTGTGTTTCAGCAACTTATTTGCTTTATAAATTCATTGCTATAGATTGAGCGACACAACGAACAGCAACAACAACAACGACCACAGTGAAATACACGAAACAATGTCGAATCGAACGAAACAACGAGAAAAAAAAAATCATAAACACCACACTCACGATAGATACTTATCGTGTACTAATAGATCCGAATTATATGGTAAAACGTTAAAAATAAAAATATTGTTCAAATAATGAAGAAAAAACGTTTTTTTTATTCTTTTGTTTGACTAAACAGAGATTGTTGACAATGTCATTTTGATGGTTCATTAATAAATGCTATCGAAATTATAAGGAAGGCAAACTCTCGTAATAACCACCAATAAACACCGAAAATTTGCTACACGAGCGTTTATTGCATGCATCGAATTCCCCCTCAAAGAAAATAAAAACCAAAAGAGAAACGCTGGTGTGTTGATTTGAAGAAAAAAAAAATTGTAACAAGAAATATGTGGGAATTTTTTTCAGATCCAGAATGTGTTGCCGTTTGTTCAATTTGTGTTTACGTTTTAAATTTATTTGAATTCAGTAAAATGAATTTTGCAATCACGTGCCGATGCATGCATGCATGCTATTACGCTTCATTGATAATTCATTGCAAACTCATATGCGTACGACGTTTATGTCTCTGCATTGCTTAGCTATCGAAATTTCAATGGAATGTGGTTTAATTTGTGTATTTCGGGATCATGCTATGCTTCTTTTTTCTCTTCGAAACATCGATACATTAGGTGTTACCGTTTTCATTTCGCCACACGGTTTTTACCAAAACTCCATTCTTGGTGTGTAAACCCGTGTGCAAATAAAATGACTAACAGTCACTCAGTTGTATGTAACTGTATGTAGTGATACACAACTAAAACTGGCTAAGTTGATTGAAATCATACGTTTTGTATGGAAACAATCACGTTTAGTTATTCTTTCAGTCAGTCGACTAATTTGGGACATTTTGACTAAGAGTGATTTGTGATTAAAGTTAACTGCAGTTGCTTATTTTGTTCGAGACAATCACTTTTAGTCAGTCAAAATGTCCCAAATTAATCGACTGAATAGTCAGTCAAAAATTTTCCACACGGGAACACGTTGCAGGCGAATGACATTAGTTTTCATTTGAGCACATCATATACAAACCTATTATTCAAGAATTACGGAGTTTTTAATTACTATAACACACTCTCGATCGCATCGACAATTCTTAAAACAAACACGCGGCACAATCAACCAAGCACAATTTTCACATCAATTTATACGAGTCAAATTTATCCATGCACAGTTGAAAATAAGCGGAAACTGTAACTTCATTTACAGATAGAAACCTCTCGCGACTCATTTGTTGTTTTGAAACATTTTTTGTTTACATCGACAGCGTTTAACGTCGCTAGTAATAATTGATTGCATCCAATTTATCAGTATAGTTACGGTTTTAAACACTCAATATAGCTTTGTAGATGGTTATTGTGAAATCGGACACACTGAAATGAACTAACGAAATAATTACTTTAATTTTTTTTTCAGCATAACATATCGGCTTATCGAGAGAAGTATCATTTTTTAACAATAGAAAATATTAACATACTTGTCCCAATAAAAATTATATATTTTTTTCAATTAGAATAAAAACAAATTTTAGAAAAATCGAAATTTTCGAGATAAACCGCAATCGAATAGCATAACCGATTCCCTCATATTCGAATTTCGAGCATCAAAGAACCGTGCTGATCTCTACTCTTAGTGCTCTCTGTTTATAAAATGCATGCAGAAATCAATTTATGATGCATTTAATCAATTAGGATCAATCGATCATAACCGGTTAATGAAAACAATTTTTATTCAAACCGGTTCTGTGTTGAACAAGTGTATATCTCACATTTTCCGGGTAATATCAGATTTTTCGATATAACTTCACACAACATAATTCAAAGGCTTAATTGAAGGGTTTCTTCGCGTAAAAACGTAATTTTGCTACTAGAAAAATTAAAGAAGAAAAAATTCAAATTTGACTACATTCAGGCGATAAAACTCAAATAAGAATTTGAAAAAAGCGAGAAAAACCAATAAGTTATACAATTTTTTCATGTTTTAAATGTTAAAAACAAATTAAAAACGTATTTTCAAAGAATTTCAACAAGAGCGTAAACTATAGTTTCCCGTGTGGAAAATTTTTGACTGACTAGTCAGTCGATTATTTTGGGACATTTTGACTGACTAAAAGTGATTATCTCGAACAAAATAAGCAACTGCAGTTAACTTTAATCACAAATCACTCTTAGTCAAAATGTCCCAAATTAGTCGACTGACTGAAAGAATAACTAAACGTGATTGTCTCCATACAATACGCATGATTTAAATTAACTTATCCAGTTTTAGTTGTGTATCACTACATACAGTTACGTACAACTGAGTCACTGTTAGTCATTTTATTTGCATTACTTAAAGCTATTTTGAATTTAAATTAATCAGAAATAGAATGAATTTGATCATAGATTCTGACATAGTCTGATCTCGTTGATCCTGGCCTCTGCTGGCGAAATTTGACCCTCAACGAATTTTTTTGGACCTATTGTCATTTTTGGAGTTTGTTTTCAAAAGTGAGGACCTTTTTTTTTAGATAGAATCGATTTATTTATTGGATGCAATTTCAGTCATCATTGAATTTTGAAGTATGATTTAACACTAGATAAAATCGATTTACAGAAGTGAGTTTTTTTTAGGTCTTCACTTTATTCCGAAACCGATTTTACATTAGATAGAATTGATTTTTGACCTGAAATTCTGGGTGTCAGAATCTCTGAATTTGATTTTGATTATTCAAGCTTATTAACCACATTTACAACACTTTATAATTCAAAAGAGTTCATGCCAATAGATAGCCATAACTGGATCTGCTTTTGATAAAGAGATCAATTGGCAAAGCGTATTAAGTTTCTATAAAAGCAAACATGTTGATTCAAAGGATGAATAGAGGAAAAAAAAGGGAAATTGTAAACTAATAGCTCAAACGCCGGATTTTCCAACATACACATTATTAAATTCTTATGAATAAAATGGTTCTTCACGTGAATGTAATTTCTATTTGACAAGTAATTGGTTGAACAAAAAGTAATTTATCGACTATAAATTACCAACAATTATTTTTTTTGGTTCACAAATTACTTTAAAAAAAAGAACATTTTTCTTCGGAAAAAAAGTAATTCGTAATTCCTTGTAAAAAGCAATAGTGAAAGTAATTTGTAAACCGAAAAACAACTGTCCCTCAGTCATTAGCTACTTCTTGAGCCCGAGACACATTTATTACATCAGCGGCTATCCAACTGCTGTTCGAACTCATCATTCATATGCAGAATTCGATCAATTATAATACAATATTTATATGCAATTGCAATCTTGATCTAAATTAGTTCTTTTGAATCTTCGAATTATTTCAGTTAAATTCATTAGCTTACAGAGATTGCATGCACCATACAGCTATAGTTGGATGCGAAAATAAGTAGCTATTTTTAGTCAATAGTTCGGGATATTTTGAAATAGCAGCTACCGCACAATTTGCTCCGAATTATTCTGAACGATCAATTGGATCTGCTATTTCAAAATATCCCGAACTATTGACTAAAAATAGCTACTTATTTTCGCATCCAACTATAGCTGTATGGTGCATGCAATCTCTGTTAGCTTAAAAATTGGAAATTGATTTTCAAAGTATTTGGCCAATACGCTTTTAAATAAATACGGTAGAATTTGAAGAAGAATAGATACTTGCAATACTACCAAACATTCGATTGTCATTCATCTGTAATTAGAAGTAGAGCAATTTAAATGCAATTAGAATTTTAAAAAGGAGTTGTGTACCCATTTGATTGGCATTTTTATGGATATTTACGAAATAATTAGAAGATGACATTATCTTTCGGTCTAAAATGCAGCCAATGATTATTTTTACAACATTCAATCAAAGGTAAGTCGCCTGCTGCATATTGCACACAAAGACTTTGTACTGCCTATCATATTTCGCTTTGGTGATTTTTGTTCGCCTTTAGTATTTTGACCACCGTCCGTAATGCTGTTGTGACCAAAGATCAACTTTCACCGCTGTATTGTAAAAGAAAAAGGGAAGCTTCAATCAAACTGTTAAAAGCTGAGTGATGAAAAGAAAGACTTACTCTGAAGAAGGTCCTCATAATACTTACATTATCATTTCAGACTTAGACCCACGAATAGTCATTACAATCGTTCAAAGATTCAATCCGTCTTAAGTATGATAAGAATTCGTCTGAAAGGTAACAAACAAACCAATCGCATACAACAATTCCATCGTCTGCCTTACTTTAAATGAAATCATGACACATCCCAATGGTAATCTTTACCAATTCTTCACGAAATTTGTTGGTCGAATTTCTCTCTGTGGCAAAAAATGCACAATCAAATTTCCGTCCATAGTTCTTTGTTTTGATACATCTCGCACATGATACATTTTGACATTTCGCTTGAGTTGAACCCGTTGTATGTGTAAATGATAAGACCAATACAAATGCAAACTGTGAATTTGACGCGAATGTTCGTATCGCAGTCAATGGAAACGTTTGACGCGTTGAATCTGATGCGTTTAATGATGATATATCTTCAATTTGACTAATTTCACTTTTTGTGAATATCGAAAATCTGAACGAAAGTAAATAAACATTCATTCATTAGAAAATATTAGAAATTCAGAATATTTCGTTGAGAAAAAAAATCATATATCAATGAGTTGTATTGCGACAAAAGGATTTAAAAATGCACATATTGTCATTAAACATACTCAGTTTGGCTGAAGACAAGCACATATACATAGACAAAAACGCAGACGCACACAATGACGCGTCGTCGTCGTCGTCGTCATCGTCATCAATGAGTCAGTATTGTCGACACAACGCCTTGTTTGTTGAATATGCAAATAGAGATAGTGAGTGTCTGACCACCGTTGAGTGTGTATTCGTGTACAGCACACACATGAAACTCAATTAGTGACACAAAAAAAAGTTGAATGAATAACAAAAGGCAGAGAACAAAATAGAATTCGATTGCAGAGAAGAGAGAGAAAAAAAAACACAAAATAAATTTCCAAATCAAAAGAGAAGACCAAAAGTCGACTGTGACTTTGTCATTTTCGGTGGAGTGAAAATAACGAAAACTGGAAAAAATATAATACTCTAGAAAATGTGGTGCATTTTCTAAAATTGTGTACAGTATTGTGTGGACCGTCAAACTGCGACGATATAAATATCTAATTCTCATTCAACATTTGTCGACGACTCAACATCAATAACAAAAAGAAAATCGTACACAAAAATCGTATGATTGCGTGATTGGAAATATTGTGATTCGTGTGTAATTTGTTCAATATCGCACAAAACAATAATTAAAAGACGAAAATAACCAACTGTTCCAAATGGACATAACAAAATATACGATACGCAAAGTAGTACATTGTCTAATGTCCAATTATATGTGATTTATTTTCTTTTCTGCATCACAATTAGTGCAATAAAGACAAGCTTCGATTATCTAAGAGGATAAAAGCAGAGACTTGTAATCAAGAAAAAGAATTCCAGATTTCAATTGGGGGAAAACAGTGAGCAAAAATAAAACGGCGCAAAAAATCCGGAATATCTGCTGGAAACGAAAATAGACGGAATTTTCATTTTCTTTTTTCGGTATTAGCCAGCACGATATATACAGTTGCCAGACCTTGCTGCATGTGCATGGCAGTCGCAGTCATTTTTCTCTCCCTTCGCACACATATCCATCATCAATAATATCGTCGCGTTCAACAGCAGCAGTAACAACAACACTAGTAGTAGTAGCGGTTCAGTGTATTGGTGTGCGAGCGTGTCGCGCAACGACGACGACCGTATGCGATATATTAGTAAAGTGATCAGTATATGATGTGGGTTGGCACATCTAATATGATTCATGTGTTAATTTAGTGGCCAACAATTGCATTTCGATATCAATATTTCGTTTCGAAACGGAGAGCAAGAAGGAACCAGCCATAAATATACTGTAGATACACATCCAGCCAGTCAAACCTGTTGGACTGAAACAAAAGAATCTGTCAACTTTGACTGCCAAATAGTGTACGTTTGCGATTCATTGCTTTGATTCGATTCGTTTCATTTCGTATCGTATCGTTTCGATTTCGTTCTAATTTTATCGAAACAAAAACTGATTGAATTTCAAGTGAAATCAAATTAAAATTCCATTAATTGTTTGACGGTCACATCGGAGAGACACGGAGTGAAAAACAGAGAGAAAGAGAGACAGATAGAGCGAACAGTTCAAACACCAATCGGTTTGATTAAGCGCAACGCGTTCTAATTTTGTTTTCCATTGCGAATTAACGGCAATAGCATCAACAGAAGCAGCACACCACAGCCCAGCGCATAATAAATTATTCAGAACGAGATTTTGGTATTTGTATCACAACCGCGCGCGTATGTTATATACACCACATAGAAAAGAAAAATAGAAAAAAAAAAATTATAAAAGACTAGAATCGCGTTATCGTTGACAATATTTATCTCGCTCATTCTCTTTCTCTCGCTCTCAAGGCGTTTTGCAGAGTAACAAATATCGAACGGAAGACAATAATTCACATATATGTATATAGAGAGAGAGTGACAGAGATTGTGTGCACTTTTGCTTCAAACTCTCTTGTTTGTTATTTCATCGTTCACTGTACTCAACAGTCACATATTGTGTCAACGGTGCTTCGGCTAATGGTGTTATTAGACCAATTTGTATTTACCCCAAAAATTCTTGCGTAATTTCTCGGAAAAGATCAAAAAGAGACAGTGCAAGAGAGAGATAGAAATAAAGTCGTGCACAAAATACAACCATAAAACAAAGGCGTTCCGACGATAGCGACACAGGAAAAGAGCAAAGGAGAGAAGAAGAAGAAGAAGAAAAGAAAATAAACAAACAAATAAACAAACAGAGAGGATCATTTTTATTGTCACATCGCAAAAAGTGAAATCATTCCGCGGAATTTGAACACAATCGTCGAAAAATCGAGAGCGAGAACGATTTTGAGAGCAGCAGCGGCGACAGCGGCCGTCAAGATTCTTCATTGCCATATGACACGCGTGTGATTGAAAACGTTCGTCGTCGTCGTCGTCATCGTCATCGTCAGATTCGTGTCAAATCAGCAGCAACACCACCAGCAGCAAAGTAAATAAAAGTCAACTTAAATTCAGAGTTCCATTAGTGCCGACGAAACGGAATGTTGCTCAATGATAAAAATAGTGAAGTTAAAAACTGAACAAAAGTGACATTCATTCGTGTAGATAAATGCGAATATCAAATCAATAAATTGTTCTATGCTGTGCGTGAGATAAACGGAATTCGGGAACAAGGGACATTCGTAAAACGTACCTCACGAGACGCGCGCGCGCGCGTATTTATGTTGTCTCTTGTCACGTCGTGTTGTGTGTGAGAACAGTGAACAAAATAAAAGAAAAACAAAAACGAAAATAAATACAAAAAAAAACGGTATGTGTGTTGCAATTTGCAATATTACATATTCGTTAAACTAATTGGGTGGCAAGGCGAATTGACTTTGTTGAAAACACATAGAAAAACACTGAAAAAGGTAATGATTTGCACTTTGATCGAAAGTGTGAAAATGCATTGTCATTTTGACTGGACTGCTACTTTTCTCTCTATCTCTCTCTCCCGTATGTTACCCTGACCAGATACATACTCGCATATACCGCAATAAAATCATTTTAGCATTTGCTTTATTTAGATGTCAATTTTCCGCATATGTTTAATGTCGACAACGGTCTATGATCATGTTCCTGGTCCCATTTCTCTTGTTCTCATTCTCATTCTCTTTCTTCTATAGCTCAGCCGAACAGGCAGGCCTTGGTTTATTTTTATCCCGAGCCGATGAAGTATCCAAAGAAATATCATTCGCTCTCTTTTTCATCACATATAACTATATTGAATCGACGAAGTTGCAATGCACACATGATATTTTCCACTTGAAACCGGGGGAAGTGCAAATACATAACAAAAGTATTATTTATTTGTTGTTTTCGTTTCGTTATCATTTCGCTTTTTTTTTGCTTTTATTTTTTAATACTTTTTAATCATTAAAAGAAATGCCAATGCATTGTTGTTATTGTTATTGTTATGGTTTGCATTCTCTCCATGTTGACTCATCATCAAACCGCATCATATGGATTAAACAATGGCTGGAGATTTGGTCATTTATTTGACACCCTGTATGCAGTATACATATGACTCAGTTGCACAAGATGCTATCAATAGATTCCAATTTTCGTTCGAATGTACTTGTATGTGTTTGTGTTGTTTCTTAGCCAGCGAATCGTATATTTTTCAATTGAAAAGAAGAAGAAGAAAAATAACAGCGACACGATTCAATACAAGCGCGGCGCACGTTTCAACCAAATGCTCGGCTCCACGTAGAACATGCACGACGTATCAAATCCGCACAACAATGTACAATCCCATGCCTTTGCTCCCTTGCGCAATTCACAAGCACATGTATATAGAACAGTGCTGATCATATTTGCTCCCGCCTCTCCCTCTCTCTCTCCCCCTCTCTGTGCTTGTGGTAGAGTGAGCGATTCTTTAAGCAACAGATGATTCAGTTTCTTCATTAATTTGGTGTGATTTGATTTATATATCGTTTTGGCGAGAGCTAGCGTTTCGTCTTTCTCTTTTGTTTTATATTGTTCTCTTTCTCTCTTTCTCTCTCTCGTCATTTTATTTTTCGATCTAAGTCGTTCGATTGTGTTTTGTAATGGTCAGGGGCAGTTAATTTCAATTTGATAACACATCGTATCGCATATTGATCATTTTGCGACACATTCCTTTGCTTTCTTGTACAGATGTGGATCGACAGTGTGATTGAGTACGATATCATCGTTGAGACGTTAACTGGCGCAGAAATTGAAGTCACTGTTACCGATGACGACACCATTGGATACATCAAAACTCACATACAAAAATACGAAGGTAAAATGACTACTTCATTTTTTCAATTTTTTTTTCCATTCTTGTTGTTGTTTTGTTCATGTGTGTGTGTGTGTGTGTGTGTGTGTGTGTGTGTGTGTGTGTGTGT